AATACCTGGAGACAAGGGAATACAGCTCAAGTTTTTTAAATCAGGCGCCCACCTAGAGAAGGGAATACAGTTCAAGTTTTGGCAATTAGGCGCGCACCTGGAGAACAAGGGAATGTAGTTCAAGTTTTGGCAATCAGGCGCCCACCTGGAGAACAAGGGAATACAGTTCAAGTTTTGGCAATCAGGCGCCCACCTGGAGAACAAGGGAATACAGTTCAAATTTTGGAATCAGGCGCCTACCTGGAAAACAAGGGAACTCATTTCAGAATCCAATTTGAGTTAGTAATATCAGAATCTTGCCTCGAGAGTGCAAGTCAACAGTTCAAGATGCACAATAGAACTGCAAAAGCGGCAGGATCAAGTTTGAAGATGTGTAGATAGCATTCTTGTAATTCATAGATCATAGTTTAGCCTAACTTCTTTTTATTTTGTCTCGGTGTAATAAGGAGTTCAGCAAGCAGTAGCAACAGTAGCAACAGTGAAATCACAGCTTCCCGGTAGTCCCAGCTACCAAAACTTCCCAAACTACACTAACCTAATTCCTTTATAGTCAAGGATATGTAGTCAACCTCGGAAGCAAGGTTCGGTCAGATATTTCAAAAATGCTTCCCATGGAGTATTCAAACTGGCAAAAATCGCTCGTATCCGCTCATTTTATCTTTGCCCGAAAACTCTTCGTGTTCCCGAGTAAAGAGGGGCAGCTGTGAGCACGTAATTTTTTCCCTATGTGAAATACTCCTATAAATTAAAGAAATAGATTTTTTTCCAATTGTTTGCAATTTTATAGGATTTTTCTTAGGAATTTGTGTCAATTGTTTGCAGTTCTGTGCATGTTTACTTTTATTGAAATCATGAAAAATACCAAAAATACCATGCATTGTATTGAGATTTTGTTTTCACATTTTAGGATTAATTAGTAAATTAGTTGCTTTATTAAAAATGAAAATCACAAAAATTGGCTTACTTTTACATTTTTTAGCTTTTAATTCTAGATCAGTAGTTTTTTTCTTTTAATTTAGGATCAATTAATTTTTATAAATCTTATGATTTGATAATTAGTTTGATTTTATAACTTAGATTAATTTAGGGTTTAATTTAGGATTTTATTAATTAAAGAAAAATAAAATAAAAACAAAAGAAAAAGGATTAAAAAGGAAAAGAAAAGAAAGCTTGGTCTTAAATTTTATTGAGCCAATTAATGCTGAAGCCGAAACATTTTACCTCAAATCCGCCCCAAATACATCCCTTACCAGCCCAAACCTGACCTCCCCTCACCAGTCCATATTAAACCCTATTATAATATATCCCCTCAAAAAGAAACCCTAATCTCCTAAAC